TCTGTATCTTCAGCAGGAGCTTCTGTATCTTCAGCAGGAGCTTCTGTCCCCTTTGGAGGACATTGTGCATTTATCTCTGGACTAAAGCCTGCAGTTTTGGGGGTGGTTTTTGGGAGCGGTTCTGTTGACCTGTTTGGATGCAGAAGCGGCAGCCTCGTGGATTTGAACTGAGGTTGGTGGCTCCTCCGGTTCTCGAGTCCTGTGTTCTTCTGGGTCAAGGCTGGACCGGGTCTCTAGACCTTGGCTCTCGGCCTTACGACAATATTTTAATGTGATACTCTTCACCTTTGCTCTGAAACTGGTTGGTGGTCTGAAATCCTCTGAAGCTAGGTTACCCCGGATTAGGATTAGGACGACAGTCAGAACTCCCATCCAGGTCTGGATGAGTTTAGGTCCAACAGAACTGAGCTAGCTAATAACCAGTCATCAATCGAATCGATCGACTTCCTGATAAAACGTTGAGTTTAGTTGAAGAAACGTTTTCAAGCAGCAGTTCTGGTTCACGATGTAAAAACGGGTTCATTATCATTTGAAGCATCCCGCTCCGGCAGAACCGGACCAGGACCCGTTTCTAGATTAAGCTAGCTTTGTGTTGAAGTGAAACTCATATGTAATTTAAGATTTTATTCCGATTAAACATTCTTCAGATTAACAGATTTCTTCAGATTAAGTGCATTATTCAGATTATCTGCGTTTTTCAGATTAATTGCATACTTCAGATTAGCTGAGTTCTTCAGATGAAATGTTCTTCAGATTAACAGAGTTTTTCAGATTAGCTGAGTTCTTCAGATTAGTTGCATACTTCTACAGATTACCCACGTTCTTCAGGTTAGCTGTGTTCTTCAGATTGACAGCGTTCTTCAGATTAGCTGAGTTCTACAGATTAGCTGCGTTCTACAGATTAGCTGCGTTCTTCAGATTAGCTGCGTTCTTCAGATTAGCTGCGTTCTCCTGGAGTAGCATCTTTCTGTTTCCTGGTGCTCCACCCCAACCTGAAGAATATCATTTTGAAATATTCAGACATAATCTGTGGTCCCGGCTGTACATGGAAGTCTTTGTGTCCCAGTTGTTGAGACAACTGTCCATGTACGTGTGCATGTTGTCCATGTGGGCGACCACAGCTCTGTTGCTGGTTCTTTGTTTCTCAACACCTTCAGTTCTTCAACCCGAAGCAGGAAGACAAGTTTAAAGGAAAGGTTTGTCTTTAGATTTGGGTTGAGGATCGTTGAAAAGAAGTGCACGGGTCTGCGCAGACACGGCATACTCTTTTCTGAGGTTTGCAATGGAGACAACAACAAAAAAAAACATCGATCTAATCCATCATCCATTGTATAATCAATAACCTCCATCTTTTCCTTTGTATGGTCAATCCAGACGCCTGAGCTGGACTGAGGTCATGGACGGTCTGCTGGAAGCCGGTCTATGTCATGGTCCACATCTTGGTCCACATCTTGGTCTATGTTGTGGTCCACCTCATGGTCTACGTCATGGTCCATGTCATGTCTACGCCATGGTTTACATTGTGGTCTACATTGTATTCCACTTTGTGGTCCATATTTTGGTCTACAACGGACCATGTCATGTCCACATCGTGGTTTATGTCATGGTCCATGTCTAAGTCTTGGTCCATGTCTTGGTCTATGTTGTGATCCACATCATGGTCTACGTCATGATCTATGTCATGGTCTATGTCATGGTCTACTTTTTGGTCTACATTGTGGCCTACATTGTGGTCCAATTTGTGGTCTATGTCATGGTCTACATCATGGTCCATGTCCTAGTCTATGTCTTGGTCTATGTTGTAGTCTACTTTGTGGTTTACGTTCTAGTCTATGTAATAGTCCATGTCGTGGTCTACATATTGGTCTACATTGTGGTCCACGTCATGTATATGTCATGGTCTACATCTTGGTCTATGACATGGTCCATGTTGTGGTTTATGTTGTAGTCCACGTCGTAGTTTATGTCTTGATCAACACAATGGTCCATGTTGTGGTTTACATTGTGTTCCACTTCGTGGTCTACGTCATGGTCTATGTCATAGTCTATGTCATAGTCTATGTCATAGTCTATGTCATAGTATATGTCATAGTATATGCCATGGTCTACTTTGTGGTTTACATCCTGGTCTACATCATGGTCCATATAGTGGTCTATGTCTTGGTCTACGCTGTGGTTCATGTTATGGTCTATGTTGTGGTTCATGTCGTGGTTTATGCCGTGGTCCATGTCATGGTCCATGCCGTGGTCTACATCTTGGTCTATGTCATGGTCTATTTCATGGTCTACGTCATGGTCCATTTTGTGGCTTTTGTCATGGTCTACATCATGGTCTACGTCATGGTTCATGTCCTGGTCTACGTCATGGTCCACATCTTGGTCTACATCATGGTCCATGTTGTGCTCTCCATCGTTGTGCACTTTGTGGTCCACTTTATGGTCCACATCTTTGTCCATGTCTTGGTCTACATCATGGTCTACTTCGTGGTCTACATCATGGTCTATGTCATGGTCCATGTCTTGGTCTACATTGTGGTCCACTTCATGGTTCACATCATGGTCCACATTTTGGTCCATGTCTTGGTCTACGTCATGGTTCAGTTTGTGGTCTATGTCATGGTCTACATCGTGGTCCACATCATGGTCCATGTTGTGATGCAAGTTGTGGTCTATGTCATGGTCCATGTCTTGGTCCATGTCACCAAAATGTCTGGATCAAGATCTGGAACATTACGTAGACCATGACTTAGACCACAGTGTGGACCATGGCATGGACATGATGTGGACCATGAAGTGGACCACAACATGGTCTATATCTTGGTCTACATCATGGTCCATGTTGCGGTCCACATCTTGGTGCACACTGTGGTCCATGTGGTGGTCCAGAATCAACACTTTTTCAATCAAAGCCACAGCATGCGGGCCGTCCAACATCTTGATTTTTGACTCATGGATCAAACGATCCTGAAACCCATTGAGGCCGACTGAGAGGACGCTCAGCTGGACTTTACAGAGATCCAGTACATATCTGAGCCCTTTGGTCGGCTTTTGATCACAGCTGGTGGTGAGGATGATGGGCGGTCTGGTTCTTGCACCGCTGCTTTATGTTCGACACAAATGTGGGCCGGTCAACCCGAGCACTGCGGCTGTTGGCATCAACAGCAACCTTTTTCAGGAAATAGCCTGCTCCGATGACTGGAACATCTTCTCCACCTGCTGTGGTCGAAGGTCAGAGTCAAAGAATAAGATGATGCAAATAAATAAGAATACATTTTATAAGAGGTTATTTATAGCTTTCCTCTAACAGCTGAGCGGCCTCCAACTGACCTTTGACCTTTGACCTTTCTATTCGTGCCATTCATGTGCTCATTGACGATTTGATCTGACATCCTTGATTGGAAGTCAGACCCAGATTCCACCAAAATTTTCCTGTTCTGACCTGTCCTCTGGAGCACCGGAGGACAGACTTGTGTTTGTTGTTGTTTGTGTCTCGCTGTGGTGTTGTTTGTTCTCTTGCCTCAGACAGCCATCTTGTCTCTCGTGTGTTGTGTGTCAGCGTCTCAACATGTCGGCCTGCTGAAGCTGAGCTGTAACTCTGATGTTTTCCTCTCTACAGTGGAGCCTCCGTCCGCTCTCAGGTTTAACATTTTAAATAAAAACACGGTTCAGGTGACGTGGAGCCCACCACCGTCCAGGATACAAGGCTACAGACTACAAGTGACCTCAGACTCAGGTGAGTGCCGGTTCAGCCGACTGCGCTGTCATACTTCGTTTACAGAAACCAGCTGAGAGCGGAGCTCCTGAGCAGAACCTCGTCCGCTCTCAAACCATCGGAGCCTGGAGTCCAGTTCACTTAGAACCAAAACTTCTTCTTTAGGTTTAAGTGATAAAACATCTACTCTGAGTTCAGAAAACATCTGAGCTTGCCTCAAACTGATGACTTTATTGATGTAGATATGAGACAAGTTCAAATCTTCAGGTCCGTTCAGGTTCTGCCCGTCTACATGTAACAATCCAAACCCAGCAGAAACATCCAAGCTGAAATAAACCTCAGGGTTAGAAATCATTGAATAAAATCACTTTTCATGTTTTTTTAGTCAACTTCAGATCTCACACTGAAGATTATCTAAAGTGAATGTGTTTGGAAGCACATTCAGATCCTCAGATTAGGATTGGTTACACCAGACCAAGTTCAGATTTTATTTTTGTGTCACTGATTCACAACAAGTTATCTCAGGGTTCCGTTCAACAAAAATCAGATGGTTTAAATCAGCCTCAGCTGAGCCTTTTCTGCTGAGACAAGAAACTAGTTCACCGTCAAAATAAAGTCTTTATAGTATACTGATTTTTATCCTGAACTCAAACGGATGAAGTCAAATATTCTGCTTTAAAAGTGACACTACAGAAAGACAGGTAAAGTTGGTAAATTAGGCTGTTGGTGGGAATTAAACTAGTTTTAACATAAATCATTAGTTTGACATCATTTCACAAACCAACAGAATTCTGTTTGTACTGACTGACTAACAACTAACTGACTGACCAATTAACTAACCAACTAACTGACTAACTAACAAACAACTGAACTAACTGACTGAGTAACTAACTGACTGACTGACAACTAACTAAATGACTAACAACCAAAGAACTAACTAACTGACTGACTAAAAACTAACTGAATGATTGTCCAACTGACTGACAGACCAACTAACTAAATAATTAACTACCTACCTACCTACCTACCTACCTACCTACCTACCTACCTACCTA